ACATTCCCGCGTGCGATCCCATTCCCAACTCCTCATACACTCACTGTACCTCAGGCAGGCATCTCCATCTCCATCTCCATCTCTCTCCAAAAATCAGAAACCGTTCACGTTCTAGACACGTGGAGAAACAAATCCAACATCTCGATCTTCTCCAATTTTATCATTTCTTCTCTCACAAAAATTGGAGAAGGCGTGCGTGGAGCGTGGAGCGTGGATGTGCGATTTTTCTCCAACTCTCCACGTCTCGGTCGTATTCTCGCGGGCGAAATTTGATTTTACGTTCTTCTACGGAGTAGATTTTCGTTGATCCATTGCTATATATAAATTTTCGTTTTCATTATTTTCATATTCATTATCAATTTACGTGTCTAGATATCTAATTATCTATCTATCTATCTATCTGTCTGTCTGTCAATCACGGTCCAGATGTTCACGTGTCGGTATATATACGAAATTTGTATGTATCTAATTATTAGTATGTAACCTCACCACCTACCAATCAATCAATCAATCGCTAAACATCACAAAGATTGATATGTATTCAAACTATGTTTTACAATCCATCCATTTATAATTCATACCTCTATCTCATATCGAAACTTACACATTACACATTACACTTCATATAAACTTTCTCCTTTCCATCCATCTCATTAATCTATCTCACATTCCTTCCTTCCTTCCCTACGAGATCCTTTCTCCCTCTCCATCCCCTCTCGAGTAATATATCGACGATAACGGGCCGGTTTCATATCTTCGGAGTCCGGAGGAGCAGGGTCATGTAATAGAGTCAAAATCTTATCGCTACATTATACATATCTAGGTTTCTCACATAGTATATTATATATGTGAATCCATGACGATGATATGATGCGTATAGTACAAATTTGATATATATATAGATACCTATATGGGTTTGAAAATGTAAAGATTTCGGTTAATTGGAAATTTTCACTTGGGTATCTATCTGGGTAGGTACAGAAACTATATCATTCATCTATTGTTTCGTTTGGATAGTAATCTGATCCGTGTAGTGTATTCCGTAAATGAGAATGTGTGTATTGGATAAATGGAAAGGAAGAGAATGAGAAAGGGCGGTAAAGGTTGATATAATAATAGTATGATAGTTTCAGACATACTTCCCTCGTAAGTAGCTAACCTGTCCTGTTTAGTTGTCTAGATAGATATATTGTATATACATACCCACATATATATAACACCATACATATATATTCATCTATCTAAACACCTACTTATATCCTCTAAAGCCATTTACTTAGAACATCTACCTAGGTACATATAAGCGTTTCTAATCCCATATACATATACATACATACAAACCTAATAGTCACATCACCCATCCAATTTCTCACACCAACCATAACTACAGAGTACACATTTCCATTTCCATTTCCATTACAAGCCCAGCCATCAATCCAATCCATTCAATCCATCCATCCCCAGCACAGCACAGCATACACCCCCAGCACACCCAACAGCCTAAAAGCAACGAGGCTATATTCGCCTCGCCTCCCCTCATCTCATCTCATCTCCCCTCCTCCACCATCTATCCATCCATACCCTACCCTACAAAAAACTGCAGATTGCAGATGACCCTCCCATTCATTCATTCATCATTCATTCATCCATCCAAACCCCACTACACCCCTTCTCTTCACCCACCCAATCCAACCACTCACAATTCTTTCTTCCATCGAATACCCATCTGTCTAGAAAGCTTTCGCGTTTCAGAAATTCAGGGGGGGATGTACTTCGTATGGATGATTGGAGATGGAGAGGTATTATGTATGTTTACGTCATTGATATTTTTTTTGATTCGAGTTGAGTTGAGTTGGTTTGATGCTGAGATTGATACAGAGCGTGTTTTTGATAAATGCTAGGCCGAAATTTAAGCGAATTTCTTTACTAAAACTATACTTGATTCTATATATTTATAAATATATAATAATTCAATAGTTATTCAAATACTGGTTATAAAAAATTTGAATTGTAATATACATAGAGATTTAATTAACAATTATCTTGATATTTAGATTATTTTTAATCAATTAATAATAAAATTCAATATAGAAATTTAATTCTATAAAATAAAGATTATTTCTTATAGAAAATTTAAATATCAAAAATTCAATATAAGTTTTGATTTATTTGAAAGTTTTAATAAAAAAAATCAAAATTAAATTATTAGATTTTAATAAAAATATATCACTTTATATAAATTTAAATATATAATAATATTGATTAATTAATATTAAATTCTAAAATAAATGAATTTTGATAGAAAAGAATATAGAAAAGTACTTTGCGTATAGGCTCGATATTTAACAAAAACATAACCTCATATATTAGAATATACTACGATATACTTACTATACTATATCACATCTATTAAAAACCATTAAAAAACATTAAACATTTATCAACTTAGTAAATAACCAAATCAGTAATTATTAATATCAAAAAGACCTAGTATTTCTTTAATATATAGACTATATTATATAACACTATAACTATTTATCTATCTATTTAACTATACTATAAACATCTAAAAAAGATGTTACGACGGATCAGTAACAAACTGTAGAATTACCAATATATAGGCTATAATAGTTATAAGATAATTTAAAGTATAAAAATGAAATTCCTAGGATAATAGATTCTAGGAATTATAAAATATAATAAGCAAGAAAAGCTTCACTAGGATTAATAAAACTCCTAAAGAATTAACTTTAGAACAGGAGGATAAATTAGGATATTAAAAATCACAGGATAAGTATTATATAACCAAAAGCCAATTGATTTCTCGATTGATTTATTAATCAACTTGCCAATCGACTTTAGTACAAAGATTTATATAGGAAATAGATTTTATTACAATGTAAAGCTTTGTGTTTAAGATAATTATTAGTTTTTATTACTATAATTACAAGAATTACAGTTAGTTTATTATCTTATTAAATTCCTATTTAAAGTCTAGTCCTAAATCATCTCGAGAGATCTCTAAACACTTCCACGTGACCCTAGGGGCAGCTCCCGTAATAAAAGAATTCTTCTCTTTTTTCTCTCTTCTATTTTCTCTTTATAAATCCTATAAAATTCTTCTATATTTAAACATAAATTTTATATCTTATATCTTATATCTAATTTCTCTATATAAATCTTATAAAATTCCTCTATATCTACATCTACATATATATATCTTATATACAAATCACAAATCACAAATCTTCAATCCTTAACAAATAAATTTTCTCACTCATCCCCCTCTTTCTATTCCATCTCATTCCCATCCCCCCCTCCATTCATTCATCTATTCAAAGATCATCACGATCATCACAATCATCACGATCATCCTCCCATCAAACATCAAATATAAACATTAGACGAACTCCCCCCATCCCCTCTCTCCCCTCTCTCCCTCATCCAATCGCTCCCCTCCCCTCCATCCCTCAGAGTCCTGTGTACATATAGGTACATATATACATCCATCCATACATCCATCCATACATATATACATACATCCATTCATACATCCATCCATCCATCCATCCATCCATCCATTCATACATCCATCCATCCATCCATCCATCCATCCATCCATCTATACATACATCCATCCATACATACATCCATACATACATCCATACATACATCCATACATACATCCATACATACATACACTTTCAATCACAATCATAATCTTACCAAAAAAAATATATATAAAAAATATCCCATTTAATATATATATATATATAATCATCCGATCATTCATTCACAGGCTATTCGTAGAAGAAAAAATAAACAGCATTCAATTATTTATAAAATATTCTTTACAATTCAATTATTTCCCTTCAATATTATATAAAATAAATTTTCGAAATATAATCTGAACAATAAAAAGCTAATACTTCTTTTGATTTCCTTGAATTTAGATAAATCGGTTATAAATTATTTTTTATTCAATTAAGTTAAAGGATTTCAATAAAAATTTGAATTGTCAAATTCCGCCTGTTTTTTCTCCTACGAATAGACAGGTACCAATATACGTTATCCATTGTAAAATCCCCGCATTGTATTTGTGTATTCCATAATGTCAATTATCCATTCACATCCTTTGCAAAATTGCCACTTAGGTACATCAACAAATATAGAATATTAAAGTTTATGATATTTTATTCGTAATATTAATTTCTATAATCGTAGCGACGGTATGTGTATAAACCTGACCTCGTCCAGGTCAATACCAATCCGACTCCAGGTATTCCAGCGCTCTGTTCACCCCACCCATCTAATCCAATTCCATTGCCACTCCCAGATCCAACCATCCATCCATCCTTCCTAATTCCCCTTTCCCAATAATCGCAATTCAAAATGGGGTATGTCTGAACGAATGAACGAAGAAAGAATAAAGAAAAATAAACTAATAATACAACAATACACGGCACGCCCAAAATAAACTTGTAACGTGCCAATCAAATTCCCACCGCAATGCCCCTGGCAAGATACATGCCGCCAAAGATGAAAACCTTTTCAACGCCATCCATTAAAAGCACATGTTGATCTTTGCTCCTGTCCCAGACAGCACAGATATTGGCCCCCCGAAAATCCCAAATGTAACTCTGGTTTGGTGCCTCGAAAAAAGAAGAAAAAGAGGACAACCGTGTAGTGATCGAATTAGAAGTGAATATAAGTTTTCGTGGCTGCAATCTCGTCCGCATCGTATATCTAAAAGAGGACTCTCGTTGTCCAAAAAAGTTCGCAGATTGATAATCAAGATGTAGACGTTTCAATCGCTAATACCACCGCAAAGGAAAAAGGGTATTGAAATGATGCCTTGAAGCATTAAGACAAATAAAAATTTGCGTCGAAGATTTTGGTTGACCAATCATCTTTTTGGTCGTCTATTGTCGTAAAATTGGTAATATGAACAAAGCGTAACATGTATAGTAGGGTATTGTACAAGTTAAAAGACGTAGAATTTATTCATCTGAGTGATGGTCCTCGGATCCAGCTTCCGATTTGGCGTCGCCCTTGTGGACTTTCTTATGTCTTCGTAAGTTTGATACAACTGAGAAATGTCTGCCGCAACCTTCAACGTCGCAAGGAAATGCTATTTTTCAATTAGTTCAGGTGGCTTGCACTGGCTGTCGAATGTGGGTTAACTTACGCTTCTCCCAGTGTGACTGTACATGTGTGTTTGTAAAGAACTTGGTCTGGTGAATCTCTTGTCGCAAACCTTGCACTTGTGCTTCTTTTGTGTACTGGTCGATACTTTCGAGCTGAATGAGCCCATCATGGATTGAGGAGGTAAAGGTGGGTTTCCCCCGCCGAGAATGCTGCCGGGTGGAGGTAAAGTTCTCGCGGATACTGATTCCATATCAGAACCGTTCGAATAGTCGGACATGGAAGAATCGACAGAGCCGCCGTAGTATGGGTAGCTGTTTGATGACGAAGAAATCGACGAATGGTTTGAGTGTGTTGATGGGAAACCGTATGAATCGGCAGATCCTCTTCCGATCCGTGTTGGACCAAAAATGTTTCTTGGGGTGGTGTTTTGGCTCATGGCAAGCATATCTCTAGCGCCGTCCATGGTTGGGTCTCGGAGATAGCTGGCATTATCATTGTTTGGCAGTCCTCTGTTATGAAAGTCAATAAGGGAGTTCTGACGATGGGACCGCGGGGCATCGGCTGGGACATCGAAGAATGAATTGGAGGATACTGACGGTTGTGAGAGTCGTCTCGAGTTATCTTGTTGCTGAACGGAATATGCTCGAACTGCGGATGGGATGGGTGCCGGCGCATAGCCAGCGCCATCAAATGGCGATGGGGCTGACGTGTAAGCAGTGTGAGCAGGCGATGGTGCGTTGTTATACCCGACGTCGCTCCCATATCCAGGTGGTAAAGCACGAGTAGGGCTCATCATATCTTGTTGACTGGTGAGTAAATCCTGTTCCACTCCAGAGAAATCCGAAAAGAGGTTACCTGCTGATGCCGCAGTAACTGGCACGCTATACGGTCCCGCTGATACATGGCTACTTATGCGTGCACTCTGCTGCTGCCTTTCCATACCCTCGAGTCCCAAAGTTGGCGTGTAGATGCTGGAACTGGTGTGAGGAGCCGACGTTGGCGCACCCCAGTTCGGTGGGATGAATGTCACCGGTGCTGGATTCGAGTATGGCAAGTTGTGGTTGTAGTGCATACCACTGTCAAAAGGCGATTGTCGGTCCATTGTCATTGTCATCTTTGGTGGACGTATAAGAATACAAAGTTTAAGATACTGGTCAAGTAAACAATGGCGCGTGTGGTGGATGGTATATTTGTTGTATGGATAGAAGTGTAGTGGTAGTGTAGGGTAGTGTAGTATCAATAAAGCGTAGATCCGATGTAAGATCCCGTGTAATGGTCGTGTTTTAGTGTTGATAAAGAAAGAGTTCTCGAGGTAAGGAAGAGTCGATCAGTAAAGTGTAGTGAGGTGCCAACGGGTGGGATCAGCGTTCTTTATGTGCTTCAGTCTGGGTGAAGAGAAAGCTTAAGGATGGAGGGAAGGAGCAATCAAGGATGATGGTTGGGTGGGGTAATCCTTGAATGGTGTTGAGATGAGTAGTTTCTTTTGGAGAGCAAAGAACGACTAGTCAAGGCGTTCGATAATTGGAGAATTCGTCTGGTGGAGGATGCTTGTTACTTGGATGTAGGAGGGGTGTTGAATAAGAGCGGGGCCCAAGTTGCACTTGAATCTCTTCAGAAATGATCGACGCAAGTTATGTGCCCTTGTTCTTTTTATGTTCCGCTGGGTACTTGGTACTTGATCTTGCTCCTCGCTGTGTATGTATGTGTGTGTGTGTGTTTTCTGCTAGTTGATGTGGAGAGAGAGGGAGAAGCTAACAATATCGTAGGGTAGTTGCGGTGAGCGGGTCAAGTAGTGTCTGTGTTCCTTTTTTTTTTTTCTTCTTCTCTCTCTTTGTTAGATTAAGCTCATCAGACAAGTCCCACTTGACAAGTTTCGAGAGTCAGAGCAACTGTCAGATCTTCGGCAGTCCTATTGATCTACTAATGGTGTATACGTGGGGAAGATGTCAATTCGAATGAGGTAGTGATATTGCGGTAGTTGCGTGTGCGTTGGTATGGATAGCCCCCGGTGGAAGGGTATGAATATGGATATGGATATGGATATGGATATGGATATGGATATGGATATGGATATGGATATGGATATGGATATGGATATGGATATTGATGTGAATATGGATTATTGAATGCGAAAGAGTTATTGACGGGCTGCTGGCTTATTACTCTCTTTGGGTTCTGACTTCCCACCGACTCAGAGCAGGTAGGAGAAGATTGAAAGAGGTTATGATCGGAGGGTTGGGGTTTGGAGAGAAAGGGCTGAAATTTGAAATTTGGAAATGTATTTGCAAAGTTACATGCCCCAAAGCAGGTGAGAGGGTAGGCAGGTAATTCAAGATTATTACTTGGAAATGATAAATAATTGGAGAACGATTGAAAGGAATAGGAAAGAATTCTGGATGATCCCCTCGGAAGCAGGGGGGGATGGATTTTATGTTTGATAGAGAAGAACGAACCCTTTTTTATGAGGATGAATGAAAATCATGAATTGAAAATGGAGGGAAGTTATTAATAAAGTTTAGTTAACTCGATCAAGTAGGTACTAGGTGAGAGGTGAGTGTGAGAGTGAGTGAGGTTTGGAATGAATCAAAGTAGTTGTAGTAGTAGTCGTAGTAGTCGTAGTAGTCGTAATAGTCGTAGTCATAGTAGTAGTAGTAGTAGTAGTAGTAGTAGTAGTAGTAGTAGTAGTAGTAGTAGTAGTATGTAGAGGAAAACTCAAAGTAAGCTTTTTACTCAATCTTCCTTTTTTTCATTTCTGTCTTTTCTTTGCTTTTCCTTTTCTTTCCTTCTTTCTTTCTTTCTTTCCTTCCTTCACTTCACCTGCCCTCACTTGGGTTAATGGGTTAAAGTTCGAATTTTTAGTTTGCACCTAGTACCGTAGTTCCCTCAGTGTTTTTCCCATGCCCCACTTTTTCATGATGTAAGTATGAGCCGGGATAAATGGTACGGAGCATATTTGACCCATGTACGTAATCCTGGGACGGCCAGTACCCTTGGTTCATTATTCATTATTCATTATTCATTCAATCACTTATTCACTCTTCACTCTTCACTCTTCACTCTTCACTCTTCACTCTTCACTCGCCCATTCACTTTTCTTTCTTTTCTTTTTAATCCCGAGAAATGTATCAAGCTTCCCTTCCTCAAACTGGCAGAATTATTCCCGGGAATAATGTGGGATTATGTGGGGGCATCTGGCTAAAGTCAAACATTTCACTGTCCCTAGTACCTACCTAGTACCTACCTAATACCTCTAATACATCCCTAGTCTTCTCGAGAGTCTCAAGAGTCTCAAGCTCAAGGTCTGAAGGTCTCAAGAGAAGAGTCAAGAGAAGAGTCAAGAGAAGAGTCAAGAGAAGAGTCAAGAGAAGAGTCAAGAGAAGAGTCAAGAGAAGAGTCAAGAGAAGAGTCTCTCTGTCTCTCCATCTCTCGAATAGTCTCAACGTGTTTATCAAATCCCAAAGAGAATCACACAGTCAATGCGATAAAAGTCAATACTGCCCTATCAATACTATGCCTGCTTTCTTTTGTATATTGAAGAAGGCGATAGTAAGGAGGATAATGGAGCTATCAACTTATCTATCGACATATTCACATGGTGTTGCTTGGGATTGCGTAGGCTAGTCTCTCCGAGTAGCGGCGACAAGTATTACTCGAATAGGTCAAGAGAGATGAGGAATTGAGATTTATTTATCCCAGCAGATATACCTACCAATGAGATATGGATATACACACATACATACATACATATATACCACCATTATCACGACTACGTACTACTTACCACTTACTACCACGACCAGGTAACGACTAGATAAAGCTGAATCATGAAAATGGGTAATGAAATGCTAGGTAGGTCGTGGTATGTGGTCAGTCTCAAATTAGATCAATTGTAATGTAAGTCTTAGATCTTTGTTTTCCTTCCATCATTGACTCGAGTTCTATTAGTCATTCAATATACATCTCATTCAATTGCTATGTGTTATGGTATTATGTACTATGTGTTATGTGTTTTCATGTCTTTTCATCTGTTTACTCCCCCCGAATACATGTCACGTATGGAATGCGCTGGGCTTGATTGACGGGACTCAAATGGGTTTCCTAATTATCTAAACTGGTTCTTCATCATCTAAACTTCCGCCCAATCCAATTCGTGAAGCAAAGGACGAAAAAGAGAAACCTAGCATTCGCATTATTACCATTACTATCATTATTACCTACTATTGTCCTTTACAATTTAGCTTACGGTAGGGATTTTTACGCCCAGCATCATGTGTAGCGTACTCCACTCCCCCTAACGGATGTACCACTTTGATCCCTTTTCGCAGAAAACAATGATGAAGTGCAATATGAAATGGGAGCAACAGCACAAACCGCTGACAGCCACTTCCGTCAAACGGATGAATCAATGGCGGTTGGGATACTCGTGAGCCCTTCGTAACTGGGATCAACGTAGCTTCGTGGGAAGGTGCAAGATGGAGTATGGAGCGTCAAGAATCATCACGATGCACTTAATTTGGTTGATCATTCTTGGGTGAAAACTTTCATCATTGTACATATTACGTCGCGGCTGCAATGATAACATTGGTGCTGCTATTTGCTGGCAGTGGTACAGTGCGAGAGTGCGAAGTGGTATGACAAACACGAACTCACTGATTAGATCTAGATATGCCTTAGTTCTTCCAAGTCAACTCAACGCAACTCAAGTCCACCCAGGTACGGTCTGTACCACATACATACTACACGCTCTCAAAAACTAATAGACATCTATCGTTCCAATTGTGGGGGTGTGGAAGATTCTGTGTTACATCTGTTTGAATTTTGAGACTGGAAATTCCAGATCCTAGGTTACACACATCTACATACAGCTAGATACATTCTCAGAATTAGAACACAGATGAGCTGCGCATGGAAAAGAATGAGATGTCTTCTTTCTTTTCTTTTCTGATTTTCCCTTCCATTCACAGTAGCTTGCAAATGGAGAACGGTCCGGTACTGTACAATCAATCTCAAACACGGTACTTAAAATTACCTAGATATTATTAGTTGCAGGCACGGGCGGAAAGATTGCCTGTTCACACAAGTTGTGAGAGAAAGTCACATTGTGGAGTACGCAATGCTCATACCATTCGGTCATTGGTCCTGGGTCATCAAATCACTCTTCAAGGTTACATACATACACACATCTCTAATCTGCGAAACCGGAAGATTTAATCACATACTCAATTTCCCTATACCTTGTTTAGACATCATCATGTCTCTCCATCGGTCTCCAAACATCTCGAGAATCTCGTGGGACTCCATTATTATCTTGAGATCTAATTTCAATGGGTTTCTTTTTTAGAAACTGTAAAAATGGATAATATGGAGACACGCTTTTATTTTCGTAATGACGGCATTGTGACTCTCGAACGAATGAAATGAGTAGCAAATGAAAGTTCTCCTTTTCAGGTTACTCCATCTCAATCCACTTGATATCATTTTAATTCCTGACCCTCTTTCCACTGGTGCTAAAATTTTCATGAATCTGTGATTCCTTCAACGGATGGATTCAACCGTCATTTCACAAGTACGGTGTACTGGGCCTAACACCTCCTTGCTGAGGCTTGCTCTAGCTTCCACTTGGCTTAATGCTCAATGCGCGCAGGAGTATCAGATGGACCCCGAAATCGTCATATCTTACCGGGGTTCGGGGGAAGAGGTTGTCTCTGCAGTCGGTGGCGCCAATAAGCTTGTCTAAGCACGAAACAATGGGAACGCCATCATTCCTCACGAATCTTGAGTTGATTGCTCAAGGGAATATCAAATGAGAAGCTATCAGTGACGAAAGCAAATGAGGTTGTTCAATTATGTTATGTTATCATGGCGATGATTAAACGAGTTACGATGAAGGGGTAGTCGCATTTTCCCTTTCCAAGGTGTTGGGCTCATGAAACTAAAAGGTGAGAATACGAGTAAGTGCAAGAAGAAGTAAACATTCTCAATCTCCAATCCCAGTCACCTCAGATATAAATAAAAAGCCACCGTCAAGCCACTGAGACCAAGACTAGTTGTCGATGAGTATCTATGCTTGGCAATTTTCATCTTATGGTTGGGGCAAGCGTTTGCTTTGATCCAATTGATTGATAGGGAAACGGAAAGATGCCTCTTTCTCAGCACCCTCGAAAATGGCGTTTATTTGCCACTGTACCAGTACCAGTGATGTTAGGATAGCATCACCAGTTCAAAGCACCGCCGTTTCTCATCGTCAAAACAATTGAGAGCCTCGGCATGTACAAGTACGTTTCATGGAAGTATGATGTTGGTGTGTGGGGAAATGGGATTGGATTAATCACAAGAATGTGATTTTGACAAAAACTTGGTATCGCGATTCAATACCAACATCTGCAACCACGATGTCATCATTGTGCGATATGACCATCTGCTCCCTTTGGGCTCTCACATCCTCCCTCCGTCAACTTCTGCCAATTGAAATTCGGGCCGCGATGTTTTCATAATGCATATCCTCCTGTCAATAATGAGGCTGACGACCAAGGAAAGTAAGTCTACTAATTCTATCTATTGTTCTTCTGAATCAATCCTCAAACCTAAAGCGAAAACACTGCGAGGACTTTCTTGGGATCATAAGGTTACAATAAGCCTTCCCATCCGGCAAGGCGGGACGAAGATCACGACAGGAGATGGTATGGAGAAATCTGACAGGGTAGGTATAAACTTTTCCATTTGAATACTTATTGGATACGATATATACAAAATGCGACGTACACAAACCCTATCTGGGACATTAATCTCAATCCGATTTGTTTTCTTTTCTTTTTGGTCCCTCCATTGGCATGAATGAAAGTTATCTCAAGAATTCCCTATGAACCCCTCAAGAAAATCCCTCATCTTCCTGTGTCCATCCCAGCCGACAACCGCGGGTTCACGGCCCCCAAACACGTACACAATCGATGCGATCTGAAATATGAAGCATAGGTAATATTGACGGTTCTACCCTTCCGCATTCTTGGCCGGGTCGCTCACAGTGGTGACCTTGTATCAGAAGAATTTTGAACTCACTACCACTCGCAACGATTTGTAACGGCAAACGATTCATCTCAGTCCATAATGTAGAGTATTATTCAAACGAGATAATAATACATCAAACCGTTTGGTCGGCGATATCACTGACTCGGTAAACTCAGCGCCGAAGATTACACCGAGGCGAAGGATGAAGGGGTGTTGAGTTTCTCTTCTCCTCACAATGGGTGGATTTTCCATATTCTGCATCGCGAGTCGGGATAGACTTGATGTCAAAAATCAATCAATATTCTCTATTCTACATTCTACATTCTACTTCCTTGATAAGAAAATAATTGTGATGGATCGGTATCCCATCTGCCGTGCGCAAATTCACACGTATACATTTGTGGGGGAGCGATTCCATTACTCCACGCTATTGTGTTCAATCACACCCCTCCATTCCTATTTGCTCTTCCGCCATTTCTTTTCTCACCACCTTTTTTCCCAACTTCTCCTCTTTCACGAGATCCAAACGGTATGTGCGTACCGTATTAGAGATTCTGCTACCGGACTGCCGCCCGGATCGACAACAATCCCGGTTTTAGCGCATTGAATGCGCAGTAAGTCAGCACGCCACAATCTATAGAGGGTAAGCCTCAAATACTACTCTATTTGCACTTCGAGATATGGGGTTCGGAGGGGAGGGGACCCAAGAGGACGTGGATGTGAGATGAGAATTCTTATCGTGTGACTCCCTCTGCTTCTTATTCATTATTCATGTCGCTGGGGATGGTATGTAGAATGTGATGTGATGTGATGTGATCTGTTTGCACAGATACAGTCATTCTACATCTGTATACGCAATGCATGCATTCCTTCACCATCGTCGAACGCCCCACGCATCCAGTCGGAAGGACAGGACCTGGGTGGTGAAAAAACTTAACTTGACCGCCTTTTCTCCACAAACCTCGGGCTATTTCCGCAGCCAATCAGATGCAGAGGGACAAGAATCTCCTTCCTGTGTACGTACGCGCTACGCTTGCAGATAGATGTAGGTGTTCGCTATGGAATGTGTGTGCAGAAACCCTAAATGTTGTTTCTGCTGGTCAGTAATAATGCGCTAGATTGTTCGGGAAGCGGGAATTGGGGTGCGGTGAATTGGATATACCGTAGGTACCTAGACAGACTACTTCACACCACGAATTCAAGACAGCACCACGTAGAAATTTCTCGAACACGATTTAGTTTTGGAACCTTGAGATGGTTTTGCAATTACAGAAGGTTGAATGTTTGTTTCATTGTGAGAGTCTAGTTGCGCTGGAGATGCATCATTTGCTTTGCTTCTCGAATCGCGAGATGGATGGGATTGTTGAGTGATGGATGCTTGAATCATTATGTAAGCAATGGTATGCGGGGATGAATGCCAATATCACAAGCGTGACAAGCCAGAGGTGTTTTTTTCTCTCTAGCTTCTTTCGCCCCTCGAGCCCATGACTCGCTCACTCAGTTATCCTACTAGCTAGCGGTTGTTGAATTAGCCGCAATGACTGTAATCTTTGTTGTTGATTGGAAACGGCCACTATCAGCAGGGAAAGAGCCCTGACCCATGCAGGAATCATTCC